TACCTTTTTGATATTATTAGTTTGAAACAACTGTTTAACTCTACTCGCATATTGTTTGTCTTACTTAACATGCCAGGTTGGCAAAACTTATCATTTTTCTTGTCAGCTTAACTTTGGATACTGAGAGCTGAGTTGTGCAGATAGTTGAAAAAAAAATGACTGTTTTGCATTTTATAAGGGTTCCTGAATTTCAAAAAGATGATGTCTTCTCTCCTGAGGCTTCTAAATTATAGCCTTAAAGAATGTAAAACCATAAATCAGTTTGCTTCTGATAAATAAGTATTTTCCCTTAAAAAAAGAAAACAAGCCATGACCATAATTTTGTTCAAAACTGTGTTATGTGGCTTCCTTTTCTAATCACACTTCAAAATACAAAAAGTTTGTGAAAAGCCAGTCTTAAGTCAGTTTTCAGCAAAGCCTTTTCCCTTGAGGCAAAATATCATACTGCAGTACCCACTTCCAGATTTCTACAATCAAGTTAAAATTAGCATAGCTCATTACCATTCCAGCCAACAGAACACTGTCAATTGCCTCTGCATCACAGAAACGTCTTGGGTTCTGTCATGTAAGAGCTCCCTGTACACCCACTAGCATTAATAATTTACTTAAAGAAGAACTGGATCTTTTTAGACAGAGTGAAGATCTAGGGCACAATTTCAAAATAATACATTTCTTAAACATAATGGCTTATATATTATCAGATAAATAAATGCTTAAGTAAGGCCAGTAAAAATCCACAAAACTATACAAAGACTAAGAACAGGCTAAAAAAAAAAAATACAGCAGCTGCAGAGCATCACTTTGTCTTCAGTTTCTAAAACATACAGATTTTCTCACTTTCCTAAACAGTTTCTGCAATGAAATACACAGGCATACTCCTTTGATCTTAAATAAAAAGTGTTCTAAGCATGCTGAAGACAGCATACTGAACTACAGTTTTTATCTTCCATCTTTTCTAGAGACTTATGACACCTTTACAGTATTTACTACAGTAGTACCTCAATCCTATCTAAGGTTTAGATCTGTCACATGAAAAAGAGTTGGTGGCCTTTTCCCTCTATTATTGCCTTTTTTGGATGGATTAGGTGAGGAATACTGCTAGACAGTGAATTTTCATTTAACATTTAATACTGACAGGAAATTGATAAGATTGCATAATGTTAATACTACTGGACATGCATTAAGGTAAGGTATACTTTTCAGTAATGAAAAACTCTCATAATCAGGCAAAAGATGAATTGTTATTTTTGCTGTAACAAAGAAATTGCACAAACCTTCTGGATCTCTTCAAACAGCAATTTTTTCACATGTTTCACTGAGGCCAAGTGGGTATTAACTCTTACAGTTGTAAAACTTGGTGGATGAGATAGACGACTTAACAGAGATTGATATTTATTCTCTGCCTCCTGTGTACCTAAAGCTGTGATAAGCTGAAAGTGAAAGAAGAGATTTTTTATTAAAGAGATTCACACAGCAGCCTCTTACTCAGTGCAAAAGGATGCCACTGAATAAAAACTTCATAGAAATGGAGGAATATGGTTGTGTGGTGTGCAATAGTGAGAAAGGTCAATATCTGGATGTCTAATTCCACTGGAAGCCTCATAAATTTCTTGAAAAGCGCTCATTGGAAAAACAGTTGTATTTGCAAAACCACTGCAAATAGTCTGCAGCAAGTATCAAAAGTAACTACTCCGTGATAGAGATACTGTACAAAATGCAGTCCTAAGGAAATGGAAGGGTAGATTCAAAACTATGAATTAGTAACTTTCATACTGATATGCAAAAATGTAATTATTTTATCCTTTGGCATTAGGAATTAATAGACTGTCTGTCATAGTTTTGGTTCTATACTGAGGTAAGGGAGTATTTCTTGTCAATATTATGTGGTTAATAAGTGGTTAATTATCTAAGATCTCTCTTTAGTGGGATCAATTCTCTGATTTATATTAAATTTAATTTAAATTTTTATGTTACTTTGAGCCAATGGGCATAAATATTAATTTTATATTTTAAATATAAAAGTATTTTAAATAAAAACTCTGTGTCTAATGTGAGGACAATTACTTTACTGTAAGGTATTAAAGTTACACAAAAAAATTGATTATTTGGTGATGATTAGCAGTATCCATGTCACATACCTCGTTATTTCTGAACACTTTGGTGAGATACTCTTCAACTTCACACCGGAAAGAGATTTTAGGGAAAAAGGACATCTTTATAAAATCTACTGGTAAGGAATGGAAATAAACAAAATATTTTCTTAGTTATTCTTATCATATTCTCCAAGTTTATAAATGTAACGTAAGATGTACTCACAAACTAAGCTTTCTGATTTTTCTGTTTCAATAATACAATTTTACTGTACTCAACAATACTCTTAATTACATTTCAAAATATGTTCATTAACATGTTTAGCACTTGCAACCAACTCACAATGAGGTTACTGGTTTCCTTGCTGTCACCTCCTTTCCAAGCCATACCTTCCAAGGCTACTGTATCAGTGTTTGAAATATGAAGGAAGTGTTACCACCTCTAAATCCTGTCCCATTGTCCTGGTTTCAGCTAGTGTAGAGTTAATTCCTTCTCACATGCTCTTACAGTGTTGTGGATTTGGGATGAAAATGGTGTTGATAACCCACAGATGTTTTAATTTTTTGCTAAGTTGTGTTTACCCTAAGTCAGGGACCTTTTTCTTGTCTCGTGCTCTGCTAGTGAGGAAGTATGCAAAAGAAACTGGGAGGAAGCACAGCTGGGACAGGTGACCCGAGCTGACCAACGGGATATTCCACACCACTGAATGCCATGCCCAGTATATAATCTGGGGGGAATTACCCAGATGGGTTTCAGGAAGGAGGGTCTGGCATTGGGAAGGGGGGTCTGGCATTTCCCATTTTCAATGGGAAAAAATAGTACCAAGGGGATTTCAATTCTCCCAGTATAGACACGTAGACTCATACAGAAGCGTGATGCCACATCTATGCTTTTAAGCAGAGTTAATGAACATTTCAGGAAGTCACAGAATGCCTTGAAGGAGAAGTTAAGACTTGACTGTGACTAGTTCATAAAACCTGTTATGAAACGTGATCGCAGAACAGCTCCTCTGCCACAGGAACTGCAAGGTATGTGGACTCAACACATTCATTCGAATGCCAAATACCAGATGTATTTGGAGAGGAACATTATTTCAATGGAGAGGAACAATACAGAGATGAAAAGCAATTCCTCAGTTAAAAAGTGCCTTCAAAAGAATAAAACCATTTTAAGCTGCCTGGAAATGTCAAAACCACACAGCTGGAGGTTCAAAGCACACCCACATAGCCTTCAGCTTGAGCAGGGTATGTGTACCCTTTCCGTGGTCATTCTCAGAAAAGATGCAACCTATCTTAGAAAAAGGGTGATTATGATATATAGAGAATAGCTTTCAAATATGGAAAAACAGTTTGCCATCTTCAAGGCTAGGGAACATAGTTGAGAGGGGATAGAGGCTTATAAATTCAGACACGGCAGGAAGCCAGGCTGATGAGGGAGACAGCCTAGCGCCCCTCCCAGTACAAGAGCCGGACTCCAAGCGTTCAGCAGGTGCCAGGTTCGACACCTGCGAGAGGTATTGTTTTGCCCGGATCTGCTGTGCCGTACACAGCAACGGCTTGACAGATTTCAGAAGAAAGCTCTTGAGGGAGCTTCCCCTCCCTATTCACCATCTCCTTGTAGATTTCCCTGTGCCTCAGTGTGGAGGAAACTGCAGCCAGGATCACGACGCCAGACCAGCGCTTTGATCTAAATACGCACAGGGACACTGCGAGCTGTCAAACGCAGTCAGCACCAGAGATGCCGACTCTTTCAAACCTCCCTTCCCCACCCTTTCACATATGAGGAAAAAGTCAGTCAGCTCATTGCTGTGGGGAGCAGGATTTGGGGCGCTCTCCTTTATTTCCCCATCTGTCCATTACTGAAAACACCACCGGGTGGGAGAGGACACACGAAGGGACACACAGCTCTTCGCTGCTCTGCGGGGAACCTCAGCCCAGGGGCACGCGGAAGGTGCCACCGCCACCACCTCCGCCTCAGCCTCGACGGACACCGAGGGAGTGCCGGGGCACCACGAGAAGGGAGGAGCACACAGGTGCCGGTGCCGGACCGCGTTAGACCCTCCCGCGCAGACCCCGACAGGCCACCAACCCCCACCTACCGCCGGGCCAGGGCCGGTCCCGCCTCCTCCGGGGCGGCCGCAGGAAGTCCCGCCTGTGCGGAGTCGCCATGGGAGCCGGGAACGCCGCGGCGGCAGGGAGCGAGTGCAGCCCCCGTACTCCCTCCCCACTACGGGACAGGGAGGGCGGCAGCAGGACAGGCACAGGACCCCGAGGGTACCCGAGCTTGTTGGACAAGACGTTGCTGAGAGCACTTCTTTTTTTAGTGTTTCCCCTCTGAAAAAGCTGAATGAGTGGATTATAATAACAGGTTTTGTACTGCGACCCGTCCTGCATCTAAGTGCCTGTGGATTCTGGGTCTAGGGCGGAGTACGGTTCGTGCTCTCCTACTGACCTCTCCTAAGTGATAAAGCCCGGGTACCCGCTCAAGACCCCAGTATGCAGGAACCTGCAGTACAGCACTGAAAGCGAGCCCAGATGTTTTTACACGCTTTACTACACACGAGAGAACTGTGAGCCTTGAAACCCACAAGCCTTGTAAACGGCAGAAGCCGCGGACCGGCCACAGCACAGCCCGGCTGGACGACAGGAGGACGGGGAAGGTGCGCTCCCAGCGCCCCATGCTGCAACGCCGGGCACCGCGGCTCCCCTCCCTTGACGGGTGAGGGGGCTCCCTCCTCCCGACTGTGCCCGGCCCCAGCTCCCTGGTCCCTTCATCAGCCCCGTGAGGACGCCCAGGCTCTGCTCGCAGCTGGCCCCACAGCGGCGCTGTCCCCGGCCCGCCCCGCGCTGACGCCGCCGTGACGGCCACGCCGTGCGGCCGTTGGCGGGGCGGGGCCGCGTGCCCGCCCCTCCCGCCGCCCTCCCACTCCCGCCGCCCCGGGGCCGCTGCTGGAGGGATCCGAGGGAGCTGCTGCGGGTGCTGCCGCCGCCGCCTGGCTGAGCCCAGGGTGTCCAGGAGGCTCGGTGGGAAGCCGGGGCCAGGCATGGGCCTGATCTTCGCCAAGCTGTGGAGCCTCTTCGGTAGCCAAGGTGGGCGCGAGGGCCCGGGACGGCTGCGGGACGGCGAGCGGAGCCCGCGGGGCTGCGGGGGCCGCGGGCAGCCGGGGGGGAGCTCGGGGCCGGCTGCGCTAGCCGGGTCTCCCCTGAGGGCCCGCCCAGCCAAAAGTTGGGCTTTTCTTTGTGCAGCGCCGGGAGCGCTGGTGCCGCGGCGCCTCATGCTCGGGGTCGCTTTGTCTCGGTTCCCGAGGTGGTCCCTCCTCGCCCCCTCCTCCCCGGCCGCGTTAAACGCCTCGGGCGGCCCTTCGGGCGCTGCGCTCCCGGGATCGCTCGGCGGGCACGGCTCTGCCTCTCGGACCAGGTTTTTCCCCCGCGATCGCGGCTGAGGCTGTGATGGACGATGATAGTGGTCGTGTTGGTGTTTGCAGACCCTCGTTTTTTGAGTCGAGGTCTCCTATTAAAGTCATGTTATTTTGGTCTTTAGTTTAAAGGAAAAAAAGAAAACCGCGAAACGTGTTGGGGCCTTCGAGGTAAAGATCTGTTTGTGTTTTGGCAAATATGCTAGTTAAATACAGTTAGTGACCCAAGAAAATCACTTCTCCATCCAAGAACAAAAAGGTCATAAGGGAATAGGATTGCTTTCCATGCTCTGCTCTCCAGCTCAGGCCTGGAGTCGTGGCTCATGCTTTAATCCAGAGCTCAGAACTTGTGGCTACCACCACCTTTACTCAGATGGTTATCATAAAAATAGAAAATTAGGGTTCATCTGTTAATTTATTTGTTTTAATGAATTTTGTTTACCTGGCCTTCTTTGGTTAGAAAATAAAAGAGTCAAGGAACTTATCGCTTGTATTGTTTTTCCTTGAGGGCCTGAGCTTGGAGAAGGCAAGCTGATCTTAATGTTAATTGTTTTCTCATCAAGTTTCCACATGCATAGTTCATTTCCACTTTAAAGTTACTAAGAATGCAGATAAACTTTTTTGTTCACTGCTCTGTTGCAAGTTTTTGGAGGCATAAACACCTGGTATCCCTTTAATAGTCTTGTTACTGTGTTTGCACATAACCTGTTCTAATTCTGTAAATAACAGAGCAAAGCCTCAGTGTGTGTACACATTGACATCTGTGTATCAAACTTTCATGGAATGAGATTGGGAGGGATCCCAGTCCCAGATCATTTATCTTTCTCCCACATACACTATCCTACCACATAATTCCTGAAGTCATCTGTCTTCTAAATTTATTGCTGTTGTTGATTTCTGATTTTTCTGAACTATCAAATCTATTTGGTCAGATTCAAGGTTTCCCCTGTTCTCCAGAAAAATACTGAATACTGGTTTGGTTTTCATCAGGTAATGCAATCTGCAAATCCTTTCCCTCCATGAAGAATTCCAAAGACTCCAAAGAGATCTATAAGTAAAGAACTGATCAGGAGATAACTGGTGGCTTTTAGTATTGTTCTGTATGGTACCTTATGATGTCAGTATTTATCTTCAGGAAAACACATTGTCTCTGTTATTGTATATTATTTCCTGCAAGAAAAGTTATTCTTCATTTTGGTGGCTGGATACCAGATGCCAACAAAAACTACTTTATTGCTCCCCTCCTCAGCTGGGCAGAGAGAGAAAATATAACACAAGTCCCTTGGGTCAAGATAAAGATGGGGAGAGATCACTCACCAGTCACTGTCATGGGCAAAATAGACTCAACTTGTGAAATTAATTTAGTTCAAAACCAATCAAATCAGAATAGGGTAATAAGAAATAAAACCAAAAATTCTGAACACCTTCCCCCTGTCCCTCCCTTTTTTTTCTGGGTTAACTTCATTTCCCGTTCTCTCTACCTCCTCCCTGCAGCAGTTCAGGGGAATAAGGAATGGAGGCTGTGGTCAGTTCATCACATATTGTCTCTGCCACTCCTTCCTCCTCAAGGGGAGGACTCCTTCCCTTGCTCTAGTGTGGGGTCTCTCCCATGGGAGACAGTCCTCCACAGGCTTCTCCATTGTGTGTTCTTCCTGCGGTCTCCAATTCTTCACTAGCTGCTCCAGCACGGGTCCCTTCTACAAGGCGCAGTCCTTCCTAAACAGGCTGCTCCAGGATGGATCCCCCACGAGGTCACAAATACTGCCAGCAAACCTGTTCCAAAGTGGACTCCTCTCTATGGGTCCATGGGTCCTTGCAAGGAGACTGATCCCAACATGGGCATCCTGTGGGGTCGCAGCTGTCTTTGAGCATCCACCTGCCCTGGCATGGGGTCCTCCACATCCTGGGGGTGGATATCTGCTACCTTGTGGACCTCCGTGGGCTGCAGGGGCACAGTTGCTTCACTGTGATCTTCCCCACAGGCTGCAGGGGGATCTCTGGTCTGGCACCTGCAGCATCTCGTCCCCCTCATTCTGCACTGACCATGCTGTCTGCAGAGTTGTTTCTCTCACGTATTTTTACTCCTCTCTTCTCTGGCCACAATTGCTTTGGTGCGGTAACTTTTTCCCATCTTAAATATGTTATCCTAGAGGCGTTACTCCTGTTTCTGGTGGGCTTGATCTTGGAGCCAGCTGGCACTGGCTTCGTAGACGTAGGGAAAGCTTCTAGCAGCTTCTCACAGAAAACACCCCTATAGCCCTCCCCACTATCAAAAGCTCACCATGCATACCCAATGCATTCATATATTTAAAATGTTAATGAAAATTTGTTTTGCAGTTAAGATAGATGAGATGATATTTATCCCATTAAGAAGGTTCAGGGGTATATTCTGATCTTCTTTTGTTACTGGAGTTCTCTTTGGTTTGGTTTTTGTTGTTTTGGTTTGGTTTTTCCCTCTTGTGGTGACCATAGAAAAGAAAGTGAGTTTGTTTTCATGACCAAAATTGAACTTCTATTCTAGGAAGTTTGCTTCAAACAGAAAGTTTTGACCCATCTAATGGGAAAGTATGCTCTAATTACTCAACTATTTTTCTCTAAATAATATCATTACTAATAATGAAAGATAGTAGTTTATGAGTTGACTTTGATTGCTCTTTTAGTTACATCAAATCTAGATAATTCCTTGGGGAATTCATAGGTTGTCCTCTGAAGCTGCTTGTTGAGCAGACCAGCACAGTACCTTTCGCATTGATTTTGACTGTAATGAGGAAGTATTCCAAAGATGCAAATAGACTTCAGTGTGGGAGGAGGATAGTTTCAGTTCATCATGGTTCGTGAGTTGTGCTGATAGTTTGGAGCACTTGATACTGACAAAATGAAAGTTTAAACAGAGCAAAGATTTGGAAAGTGCTCTCTGTGTCCCATGAGGTAGAGCATGGGGGAGGAGGTGTGCCTAACTGCTAGAAAATACAGAACAGAGCATCACTGGCAATCCATTTGAGTATTATTAATTATGCACTGCAGTTTTGCTTTACATAAATGCGAATAACAGCCAAGCTGAAGATGCCAAATTTGAAAGGTACTTGATCAGTAATGTCTGGACAACTTTAAATAAATATCTCCCAGTGAGTTAATGCTGTTAACTTGCGGGAAGAAGACGTGTATAGCTTTCTGAAAAATACACATCTTAAGAAAACTAACATCTTAAGATAAGCCCACTGTGTTTTTGTGCTTTGGGGTTCAGTGCGGTTGCAGTAACCACGTGATATGCAATAAAGTTGAGTTCATTCATAGAGACTTCTGCCTGGCAGGAAAACCTTGTAATGAAGATACCCTTAGATCCTACTAAAACTATGAATATCTGCTTATTAATTTACACATCATCTTTACTACTTTTGCAAGTTTTGATTCTCTTACGTGCTTTTCCAATGGTAAGGATAAGATACTACAAGGAAGGTCAAGAGGCTGGACCTAATGTGTGTGTGAAGACATTCTTGTGCTAAGTGTCTGTTGACTAGTTTATCTATTGACCTGTTCCTGCAGCATTTCTTATTACTTGTATTCAGCTGTTTTAGCCCTGTTTCTTGGGTAGCATCTCTGTATTCCTGCAAGGGAGTTGAATCTGTCTGTTCTGTTTCAAGTCACTGTACATGCAATAGACATTGTTCCAGTTGGTTCAGCCCATTTTGATTATGGGTAACCCATTTTGCCAAACCCAAACTGGCTCATGGTGAGAAAATGCAACAGTTAAAATAATGTTATGTGGCTAGTGCACAATCTGCTCTCCAAATCTGGTATGTGAGATTATGAAATAAGAAAAGCTGCAATGCAAAGCACATTAAGGAAACTGGGTGATGCCTGTACTGATCCATGAGTCAATGACTAATGAAAGAGAGGCAGGTTGACAGTCTGAGTACAGCCTGTCAAGGAGTATCTATTTAGCTCTGTGGATACATTTGGAAGGGTTCATTTCTAGTTTGAGTTTGTCATTAGTTTTTAAACAGTGGCTGGTTTTGTGTGAGTCTTCAGGGTGATCAGAATAATTGCTACAGTTGTAAAAATTGCTTTAAGAAAACTAACAGTAAGCTCTAATTCAAGGAATTTCTGGAAATCCACAGTTCACTTTATTTAGGCTTGCTGACAGTTCCCAGGCTGTACAGTCAGCTTGGAAGAGACCATTGTCTGGAAAACCAAATAGATTTTGGTTCCAGTGACTACTAAATGCTATTGACAGTTTCTCTACTTTCTTGTAATCAAGTCTGGAGATAAAAAATGTATTTGAGCAATTCTTTTTGTGCTTTAAAGAAGACTAAGGTAGCTTTTAGTGTGCAACCTGAGTACTTGTATTGAAACCCCTCTGACCTTTAGAAATGTGCTGCTCCTCCTGGCTCCTCTTCAGCAAACTTCTATCTACATTCTGTCTTCAACTTTGAAGCCTCCAAGATCCTTACTATTTGAAAGTAGATGTTTGTGTTTTGTCTGAAAAGTGTTGGTATCCTTTCTGGTACCCATTTCTTTTAAGTGTGTTGGAAGAGCCTCATCGTTATTGTATTTAGAATTTTTTTTTTAATTTTTGCAAAAAAGAGGAAAGGACAAAGTTGTGAGAATTGAATCTTCAGTTTTGGACCCTTTTACCACAGAGAAATATAGATGAGGAAGTGAAAAAAAAAAGAACATAATATGTCTTTCTTCTAACATCTGCAAGAAGATAATTTTCACTGTCCTGTGGTTTTGTAATATTAGACTGCCAGAGATTTTTTCAACAGTACTAGTTTTTTTTGGGTTTTTTTGTTTTGTTTTGTTTTGTTTTGTTTTTTTTTCTAACAGTGAGTTAAGAATGGTTGATATAACAGAAGTCTTTGGATTCTTTTAAAAAGTAGTCTAATACTGTCTTCCCCCACCCCATGCCTACTTTTTCTACTTCCCCCCATCTGATTAATAAAGGCTCTTCTCTTCTACTCTGTCAACTTTGTTATGGATTTTCTTCTTCCTTTGCCAAGAACATGGTGGACTGGGAAGATATTCATGAATACAACCCAAAATGAGTTTGAATACCAGCCAGTGAAAGGGAGAAACCTGGGTTAGTCTGTAAGTACACAACACCAATAAATCACTGCCTGTGGTTTACCCCATGACTGTCCTTTCTCCTAAATGCGACATCTATCTTCTACTAGTTGCTCTTGTAAACAAGTACTTGTCTTGCTAAAATTCTGTTCTCTCTTAGTTTGGCAGTTTTTAAGTTCACATGTTTTTCCTCTAATGTACATCTCTGTGTAAATGTTTTGTATTTTAACCAAACTAGACAGAAATTCAACTTTTGAATGTATTTGTAAGTGAAGAGTTTTCCATTACTGTAGGTCTATATCTAGAACTAGAGAATGGAAATATAAAATAATAATCTAGAATATATAAATCTATATCTAGAGTTTGCAATTACTATAGTGTTAATGGCAATTGCCATTAATAAAAGGTGGAAACTGCTTGAGATACCTATGCGTTCATCTTACTGTTTTCATCCCCAGATCACCATTACTTAACACCTCTGTGACTGTTTCTTGTTTGTGCTTATTCAGTTACTGTGTGAAATACTGTTTGACTATGGAGTAACACAGATGCCTTTTTTTCCAAATAATGTCAAACCATTTGCATTTTGGTGGCTTTCAGAAATAGTCACCTCGATGGCAATTTTTTTTCATTACTCTAAGTGGGGTGATATTGTTTCGTCCAACACTCCGGTAATTCACACCTAAGTGTTGTACTGTAATATGAAGATGAGAAAGAGCGATGTAATGCCTGGCTGGAATTCATTTCCTTCCTTGAAAATAACTTAAAACGGAATGTTGCTGAAGTAGGGTCATCTTCTTCCAGGCAATATTTGACAACATGTCTGGTGTGAAAACAACCAAAGGGTATTTCTGTGTTTGAACTTTGAAAGCTCTTTGACTGAATTTGACGAGATGGATGATCAAGCTATGAGGCATGGTTTATCAGCACTGAAAGCAGAGAGGATTTCATAGTATTTATGTATTGGGAAAGATTACTAATTACTGATGCTGCACCTTATGGGGCTAGAAGTACTACTGGATTTAAGGCCAGGAAATGATCTTTCTTTAGAATGTGTTGACAGGATGCAGTAGTAGGGGAACTGACACAAGGAAATACATTTAGGCATTTGTTATAATAGTATTGCATAGCAGGGAGCCCCCGGTGGTCTAGGGGAAATGACACTGCACTGTCACTGCAGAGACCCGGGTTTGATTCCCGGTTGGGGCCCCTCCCCAGGCAGATGGAGCTCGTTAGCCCATAAGGCAATCCATCTACGTCCTGAGGACCTCACTGCCACTGTCCAAGCGTGCTTGGCCCCGGCAGATGAACCTCAGGATTAAAGGGTGGGCTCAGTTCCGCGCACACTGTGTCTCACCTAAAAAATCCACTATTCCAATTAGCTGTGCTGCTGGATTTGAAATTCTAAGAAGGATTATTTACAGAGAAGCATGTAAATTCTGAAGGAGCTTTTTGTTTGTTTGTTTTCTGTTTTGTTTCTCTGTGCATGGAAAAACTAACATTGTGGCAATTGGAAGATCACTATTCTATAAGCTGGACTTTGCAACGGGGAAAGTCTGGGTTTGTCTGATGCAGGGAAAAACGATTTTATTTTTAAAATCAAAAGAATATTTTTTTGTTGAGAGAGGTGATCTTTCCTTTCTGCTTGCCACTGGTGAGGCCTCACCTGTAGTAGTGTGTCCAGTTCTGGACTCTTTACTGCAAGAGAGAAATGGATGTACAGGAGAGAGCCCAGTGATGGGCCACAAAGATGATTAAGGAACTGGAACATCTCACATATGAGAAAAGAGATGGAAAAGGAACAGAGTCAGACTTGTCTCAGTGGTGCCCAGTGACAGGACCAGGCAATACAGAACCTGAAACACAGGAGGTTTTCTCTTTACGTCAGGAAACTCTGAGCACTGGCACAGGTTGTCCAGGGACACTGTGGAGTTTCCATCCATGGATACTTTCAAAACCCATCTGGCCATGGTCCTAGGCTGTTGGCTCCAGGTGGCCCTAATTGAGCAAGAGGGTTGGTCTAGATGACCTCCAGAAGTGTCTTTAGGTCTTGACCATTCTGTCACTCTGTGACTTTCAGTTTAGAAGTTGCAAAGTTGGACTTTACAGTCCATTCAAAATTCCTCTTAGGTTTTACTATATGGATAATGGTGGTCCCTTAACAAGTGGCTATTATTGAGCCTTGACCCTTAGGCTAATGTTTTTTCAGTTTTTGGGTGTTTGGTGATGTTCTTAAGATGATATGCTGCTATGAGTTACATTTTTTCATTGTACTTTTCTTTCTAAAACTAGATTTTTTTGATGAAGTAACCATTCCTTTCTGAAGATCTCCAGTGCTGACTTTTCCCAAGATTGTAGTCTCGAGAGATGAGGCTTTGTAGTTTTGTTTGGCATTTTTTCAGTCTCGAAATCGCCACTATTCTGTGTAAGCTGTTGAAATAAGGCAAACAAGCTGTTGCTTTCTTCAATAAGGAAAGTGATTAACCAAAATTATAACTGTTGCTGTTTCCAGTAATTTATTTTTGTCTTCTTTTTTTTTTTTTTTTTTTAATATCCAGAGCACAAAGTAATCATAGTGGGACTTGATAATGCTGGAAAGACTACTATTCTTTACCAGTTGTAAGTACATGAACTACTTTGTTTTCCTGTTTGCATTTTAGTATTTGTCACTGTTTAATCATTGAAAATTCAGCTTTGTAACCTGGCAGATTCTCTAGGATTCCAGATCACAGTTTGTACATTAACGGTATTAGTTGTTCTTAACAGAGTAAATATTGAAAGGATAAGAGAAGGAACTGCCATGCTTTAAAGCTGAACTGTAAATTGAAGAACAAAATTGAACATACAAGCACAAAGTGAACTGCAAATTTTTTGCCATCACAGTCCATCTGAATTTGTAAGCATAGAAATAATCCTGTTGCCAGTAACTGCAGACAAGAAAGTGTTTTTAAATTATTGGAAATTCTAGCCACTCTGCAAAAAATCCATAAATATTTCCAAATGTTTCCTAGTTCCCATGTCTAAAATTTTTGATGGAAAATTCCTAAAAATAGTATTTCATATTTCCCAGGTTCTGCCTTAGGCATTTTCAATAGCATCATTGCACCCAAATCTTTACAGCATTACAAAAATATCCATGATAAATTTAGAAATGTCAGCAGGACCATAATTACTATTGTTATTGTAGAAGAGGGAGGATGTAGCTAAATTACTGTCTGTATATTTTGATACAAAAGCAGCAGAGTATGTTTTCCAAATATACTTTTTTTTCCCTAAGCATTTTTGAGAAAGTTTAAAGGTAGAACTGAGGAATTTTCAGCTATGGAATGAAACAGTCTTTTGGGATTTGTTGTAATATTGAGTTACTAAGTAGAGTGCTCTGATAAAATTATATTCTGATTTATATTTTCCACAGTTTAGCATTCTCATATTTGGGATCTTTAGAATATCAGCTTCTAATTTAAGACAAGTGCATTTTAAGTATCTGTTAATGTCCTTTAGGGAGAGAATCCTCCTAAAATGCAGATGCTTATCCATTTGTTATGTCTTTTATGTGCTTATTTTTCATTGGTGATGTCTTTAAGCATGTCTGCAATCACTGCTTTTCATAAATTTCAAATGTATAGCTTTTTTAAAATATACCTGGTTTTTAATATTTTTTTAATCGGTTACACATACTTACTTTTTCTAGAACAAATTTATTATAACTGAGCTGTAACAAGCCTTGTGGATTATACTGATTGGTCCTTTGTGTGATATTGTTTTCTTTAGTTTAATGAATGAGGTGGTTCATACTTCTCCAACCATAGGAAGCAATGTAGAAGAAATAGTGGTGAAAAACACCCATTTCCTAATGTGGGATATTGGAGGACAAGAATCATTACGGTCATCGTGGAATACCTATTATTCAAACACAGAGGTATGAGAAGCTGCTTTGCAAGTTTGTTAGAAATTATATTTATTTATTTATTAGGAATATTGGTACATTTTTATGAAGATTGCAGCTGTATTGTTTTCAAATCCTATTGAGCAAGAACAAACCCAAAAAGTGTGAGGTATCTGTGGTATGCAGCCAATTCTCTGGTAATATTTGAAGCATTTTTCCTGTTTACTTTACAGTGATGTTGTTTGATCTGTGATATAAACTATGAAATTAGACTTTTTTTCCTAGGCAGTAAATGATATCAATACCATTTCGGATCAGATTTCTTGCATGGTTTTTTAAGGTGATTAAAATAACAATTTTGCTCGTAATTTGCAAATTTAGTGAGGATTGGCAGTGCTCAACCTGACTTCTGTATGTCTAGTCTGAAATGTTTTTGAGATGATAGCTAAGCATGAAGAATGAAACTTTCTCTAGGCAGCAGAATTTAAAAAGCCCACCAGCTTGTGGCTTTTATCCAAGGGTAAAGGAAAGTCTAGCTTTGCAATACTCATGAGTTACTGGCAAAGCTGCCATTGCTGGAAAGGTTGGAACTCAGTGTCAGTTGTCTTTTGGGGGGTTTGTTTTTTATGCCAGCTTTTTTGCTACCAAAAGGTTATCAGTACAAAATGCACATATAATCTCTGAGAACTCATTTTGAGACATGTACATTGTTGTAAACTATTTTAGACTTCATTTCTTATAGTTTCTACTAAAAGCAGTGATTTGTTCATTATGTAAGTATTCCATCCTCCTGTAAAATGAGATTTTTCTTTTTTATGCTTCTCTTGGAGAGAGTTGAGCTTAGCAATCCATCCTAGATCTGCTGAAAGCCTACTGATGACATTTCAACTTTCATCTCTAGTATTTTAAACTAATTTTTCATTTTATCTGGAAAAGTATAGCTACATCTAAGACACATATGAGGTTGAAGACACTTCTGCCAGCATTATCTGCTACAGAGCACTAAGTTCTTGGCTTTTGTCCCTTGAGTATCTTTGATTTTGGAATTTGGGGACATGCATATATTACTTCTTTTTCTGATACTTTTGGGATGTTCTTCATCACATTCTGGCTAGTAAGTGTTTGAAACCCAGTGCCTTTTAGTACTTGGAAAGGAGAACTTCCCTTTTACTTAGAAGCTTTGTCTGTTGGAAACAGTTGAGGAAGAAAAGAGATCTGTTTAGTATGCCAATCCTAGCCTCCCTGATATGAATAATTCCTTTACTGTTCCTCCTCATCTGCTAGGCATCTCAAAGTCACAGCAGCATTAAATTGACTTAGTTTTTCATTCTTTGTGGCCATTCCCAATGGCTAATGAATCTCTTTAATTTTCTAAGGCAAAGTGATTTGAAGCATATGTTGGAGAATTATAGCAGTGATTTCTAATTCTCCTTTTTTGTTACTGTCTCTCTTTTCTCTCTTTCCTTGTGTGCCAGTTGGAACAATCTACACAAAATCTTTGGAGTAATGTAAAAGTCCCACAAATAAGCATTTTAGCGCATACCTGTCCTAATTAGTTTCAACTTAATATGGCTAGTTCTGCTATTCTGTTTTAAGTGTCAGATCATATTCTTACAAAGGGGATGTTGAGACAGGTTTAAAGATAATTTGGGAGGACAGAAAAGGGGAGGGAGCTTCCATGGTCCCATGGTTAAGTTACTGGGTTTGTGGGTGAACAAAGAGAGTTACGGTAAAGGAGAAAAGGGGTGGAGAAGTACTGTCATCTGGGCATAGAAGTAATGGAGTCTGTCAGATGAATGTAATCTTCCTGGTTTTCTCTCCAGTGCAGCATTTGTCCCTTGTAATTTATTTTATTGTTATTATAGTATCTGCCTAATTTTCATCAGAAGGTGCTTGGTCTCCCTACGCATTGTCCCCCCATCATGCTGTTCGCACTTCTCGGAGCACACTGGGCAGGGCAAGTGTTGAAGTGTTGATCAGTTGTTATGGTTTGTGTGCCAACACTGTTGGGTAATGCTTACGAGCATTTGCTTGAGTGTTACCTATGCTGTCTTTTACCTCTCTAGTGCAAGGCTATAAAATAGAAGGTACCAAACAAGGAACAGAAAGAGTGGGTAATAGACAGTAATTTTCATACCGGTGACAATTGGTTCCCATGGGAGGCCTAATGTACCAGACCTAACAGTGTCTCAGAGTCCACAAGTGCATGGCTGTAAGAATAATGTGCTTGGCAGGAATAGTAAGGGTAAAATGAGTGCTACAGCCATCTCCAACAGCCTGGAAGGGCTTCAGCAAAAGGTGGAAGGGTGCAAAGTTGTGAGAGGCCAAATGCGCAGGTACACAGCTTTCTGACATCTGACCTACTACTTTGAAATAATCTTTCTTAAGCCTTGTGAGCAAGATGATGATGAACTGTAAAGTAAAATATGCTTCTTTAAAAATACATAATTTCAATTTCAGTTTTATACTTTCCTGAGTATGCAAGTAGTAGTGGACAGTAGCAGCTGTTTTCATTGATGATATGTGTAGCCCATTTGTCATCCACATCCACAACCTATTATCTGTAGGTGCTTTCTGGTAGTAACATACTTATTTTGAGTATGATATATGGCCTGAAAATTCATGAACAAGATTTAGCCATAGTACATGTAGGTAGATCTTAATGCTGAAATGTGCAGGAATGAGATTGTTAGGTGGTTTGTTGTTTTTTTTAGCTATCATCTTCAGGTGCTATCATCCCACAGCTCTAGCAAAAGACTGTAATAATAAAACTTTTTTCTAGTGTCCTCTGCAAGTGTATGTCTCTTCTAGAGGAAGACTGGTGGTTAGTGATCTCTTGAAAATGTGCTTTCTGTAATTTATACTTTGTACTTACATACTCTACTGTTGGGTTTTTTCCCTAGTTCATCATTCTGGTTGTTGACAGCATTGATAGAGAGCGACTTTCTATTACAAAAGAAGAACTTTATAGAATGCTGGCTCATGAGGTATGGTGGGGAGTTGGGATAATAGTTTTGTTGAGAACAGTCAAATAACTTTACATGCTTCCTGTGCTAACAAAAATTATACTGTCACAAAAAAATCTGAGAATAAATATGCATGCATGTTGGTCACATTTTAAAACCACGTAAACTATAAACAAGCAGAAAAATTATTATGAAACACTCTCTATTAGAGAGAAATCTTTACTTTGCAAATGTTGAACTTGTAAAATATCTTATGCTTTGTATTAGCTTAAAAAGGAATTATTGTCCTCTGCCAGAGTCTCCTTTTGGTTAAATGGTTAAAATTTCAAGAAACATTTTTTTTTAAATTTTTATTTTAGAAAAGTGGAATTTCACATTTTTTCTTGTTTGTTTTAATCCTGTTCCTTAAAATTAAGGAGCGTATATAACACTATGGATAAATTAATTTTAGTTCATTTTCCTTACGGATTATTTTGTTTGTACTTTTATTTGGATTGTTCAGCGTTGGGTAAACTCCCTCCAACTTTCTAAATTAACATCTACATTGGATTAGCTAAAGTACATTAAAACCTTCTGTGATCACTCTCAAGCTAAATTAAGCTTGTTTTAAATCTAAATGTTCTCCCTCATTTTTGAAATGAAAGAAAACGATTTAGTACAAGTAATTCTGCTCAGTTCATTTCTCTGAGAAACTTGCTTTGTTTCACATAAGTGAGTTTTTGCTTTACAGTTTTATATTAAAGTAGTTTGGATCTGGTAGTAAGAAGCAAATACGCTACCAAAACAGGTTGGGAGGCTGACTTCTTGTGGTGAATTTTTCCCATGTAGTTTATTAGTTTCCAGTCTTAAACTCTTATAAAATTGTGATCTGCCATCTCATGAAAACTGTTGGTAGGCCTAGCCTGGACGACTTGTAGGAGTGAATATGCAGCTTTAGATCATAAAACTTTGTTGTTGTTGTTCTCCCTCTTGATGAAGAAATAGTCCCAGATTTAATATACACTGAAATGTATTGGACACTTTCAATTGCATCTGTCAGGTTCTTGAGTATTGCATTTGTTTACCCTTCTGCACTTCTAAAGCCATACATTCCAGTGCTGTTTGGAATCCTAAATTCCACACTGAAACAAAGCAACTTTTAGCTGGTTTCTAAAGCTGCTGCAGCATTGTTACAGCTCCCTTTTTGGAACACCAGGATTAAATTTACAAGAATTCAGATAGCTTTCCTAGTCTGTTACTGTTTTAATCACTACAGAACTTGTTTAATGGCGTTGAAAGCAATTTCAAGGGAATGATATCTAGCAGTCTTTTCCATTTGAATAGTATGTATTGTAGAGTTTGAAATGTTTGCCAGTAATATGTCTGCTGGCTGCATAGTTTGGAGCATTATGAAATATATTTTAACAAGACTTCCATTAGTTATATATGAACATGTGGCCAAACCTGAAAGGATAGTCATATAATACATTACAATTTGATCCTCTGTGGTGAAGAACTGAATAAATTAGTTTCTTCAGTCTTAATGTAATGAATTTTTACTGCAGAAAGTCGGTTAAAACTCCATGCTCCTGTGTAATTGTAGATTAGCTTGAATACAGTTCTTTTAAGAAATAAAGTTAGCACAATAGCATTTTAGTTTTTCATAATAACAGTTATGAGTACTCTAAATCATTTCTAGGATTTACGGAAGGCTGCAGTTCTCATCTTTGCAAACAAGCAGGACATGAAAGGCTGCATGACGGCTGCTGAGATATCTACATACCTCACCCTCAGCTCCATAAAGGATCACCCGTGGCACATTCAGTCCTGTTGTGCTTTGACAGGAGAAGGGTAAATGCTTACTGCTTACTACAGCAATTTGTGGCAAATGTATACACTGATTTAGAATCCTCTTGATGCCAATGTGGATTTTCTGAAAGAACGTATTTTCTGCTCTTTACAGTCAAGAGGGATATTTTGAATTTTTCATTTCATTTTTAATTGAACTTTGTGGTTTTTTTCATAGCTCAGACTCCGAGTTCATGTGAAAGTCTTTCCGTTTATTGTTAAAAACCCCAAAACAGAAACCAAACAACGCTCTTTGACCCAGATGCATAGCTGTTGGCATAACTGTCTACTTTCTGTGCACAACTCTTTGTTGTGTGTGTCTTGGTGTATTTAAAGAAGTAAACTACTGTTTTCTTCCTTTGTTTTCTTCCTTTACATTCTAATCTGTAGGAAGCTTCTAAGTTGGTGGATTGGGTTGGGTTTTTTTTGGTTGATTGGGTTTTTGATAAGCATTGAAACATAGTTTTGATGAAAAGGTATATAGATCTGTCATAAGCCAAAATTTTTATCAATATTTAACATTTTGTTTATATCTGGCTAATGTAGCTAATTTTGAAATTTGAATACCTTATGCCAGCAATTACTAAAATGGGAAGCTGAGGTTTCCTTAGATCTCTTGTCTGTGAAGATCAAAAACCAATTTTGGATGCCTTTTAACAAAACAAGTTGAATAATGCCTTGCTTGTAGGTGTGAAATGTGCTAATTTTTCATCTTGATTTTTTAAAGCACTCTTATAATGTGTAATATTTAGAGGTTTTTTTCAGCTGTGTTGTACAACCTTTATAATAATGCAGTCTTGTGACCTCAAAAATAGTGAATCCAACTGAGTATTTGGGAAGTGAAAGCATCTTCCTCACTTTCTAGTATGAAATATTTTCTAATGTAATGGAGATACCTTGAAAAGTGAATGGTGGCATTAACTTCCTTAGAGTGGGATGTGTTAGTGAGGACAAACTGTTTTTTTCATTGAGTCTATTTCATTCTAAGAGTTAATTCTGCTTTCCTTCTACCAGTTTTGCTAAAGTCACTCTTGAATACTCAGTTTATGTGCCAAGACCTTCAACCAATTTGACATTTGAAGGAAAGTAATAATTAATAAATATGAATTTTATTTTAGAAACAGTGGCCATCATAGGCTGCTTCTTTCTTATTGTAAAAAACTCTGAGAATATTTAGAATGCTTTAAACTGTGACAGTAGTAAGACCAACATATTAAAAAAAAAATCCCAGAGTTAGATTGCTGAGCTGAGTTATCCTTGGAAAGATCTGACTGAAGTCTGGGGAGATTAGCCCTGTGTGAGTGAAGTTAGCGTTCTTGGATAGCTAAGTCATGATTTTCTTTACAAAGGTAAAACTTAGGGGCATAAACAAGGTAACTAGATCCCTAGAAAATCAAAGGAAGGCCAGTGTTCTAAAATTAAAGACTTTTAAATGAAGATGCAGATTGAGTTAATAAGCAAATTAGATTGAGTTAGTAAGCAAATGCAGTCTTATTATTCAATATAAACATACTTCTAATTTTGTAATGTGATTTTGGAATTCTTGGTATACTACCTTTTTGTTAAACAATTCAGTCTGGATAACCTGCCCTTTGTCTTTTAGTTAGTATGTAAAGGTCTAGCTTTCATGTAAGCAGTCTTTCACAGGAAATCTGTAGAAGAAGAAAAGCTTTTTTGGTTCCATGTGCTTATGAGTTAGCATTTAAGAGTAGTGTCTTTAAGATTTATAAGGAAAATAAATTAAGTACTGCCAAGCTTCAATAAAATAGAATGCATGACCATTTCTTGTGATTAAAGCCTACAGACTTAGTTTAAAAACACTGCTTACTCTGTTCAGCTTTCAGTCCTATTTCGAGTTGATTTAATTGTTTTTTTAAGTAGATGTTTTTACACATAAAATCAACCAGAAAATACTTTCAAGATGTTGGGGTAGAACTAGTACCAATAACATCTCTTACCTTTCAGGTTATGCCAAGGCTTGGAGTGGATGACCTCCCGTATTGGAGTGAGATAGCTTTTTTACTTTTTTTTTTTTTTTTTAATTCCTCCAAAAGAAGAGACTTCTATTTATCCTGTGAACATGTACATTTTTCTGTACTTTTGGCTGCTGAGGCAGTGACCATGTTTAATTTATATCAGCCAACTCCTAAACTGTGCTTGAATCAAGCACAGTTGAACTGAAACACAAAAGTATTTTCTTAACTTTTTTTAATACACTAACCTTCAAGTGGATGAACATATGTGAATCTGTTTTGAGGCATTGAAATTCCTCTGAATATGTATTCTAACTTTTTCGATGACAGCCTTTTAAAATCTGTTTTGTCATTGTCAGTGTTTCATACTTCCTCTTTCTAAATAGTTTGTATAACTTACTAACATAAATGAGCACAGTTTATTTAATAATTAAAATTAGTGATTAGGTTAACTTTACTCTGCCATAGCTTTAACCTCTAAGGATAAGCATATCTCCAACTGGACTTCCCAGAACATCAGTAGCATTCTAGCCAGCACTGGAATTAATAGTTATGAATGCAAATTTTTAAATCCTTAATGAGTTAACTATAGTTTATATTGTGGTAGCTTTTAACCTGGTATACAGTGGAACTTCTGCCTTAAAAAAAAAATTTGTTTCAGTCTCAGTTTCTCTGGTATGTAGTTCTAGGATACGATTCTTTTACTTGAAAATACATCTCTGTACAGTGGATAAAAATTTTGTTATTAAGTGCTAGTGTAATAATTTAGAACTTGAATGCCTTTTTAAAAATAAATCAGTAATTCAGTTTGAAATCACAGCAGCCAATGTTATGTGTAGACTTGCTGTATACTGTTAAAGTTTTAAATTTTGTATACATGAGCCTTCCTCACCTTTTAGTGAGAATGCTGTTTTCTAAATGAATGCAAAATCAAAAGGGAAGCCAGATTTATAAACAAATAAAACAATACCATGGTGCTGCGTCTGTAGACTTCAGAGTGAAGCTAATCTTGACATTTATTTACCTACTATCACATATGTTTTTAGATTTTTTGCAGAGAAATTATTTTGCCTTAATTTTTGGTTTTAGTCTTATTTGCACAAGCAGAGAACTTTTGATGGTGTTTGAGTTAGATTCCTTCACCTGAAATTTGAAAAGCAGGTGGTGAAAAAGTAGACCGAGTAATTCTTAATTCAATTGGAAGGGAATGAAGTTAGATCTATCAAGATAATGTAAAGACTTGAAGGTTATTGAGAACATTAAGCATCAAAAAAACCTAACCACTAAACACCCAAAAAGCCATATGAGGATTAAAAAAAAACAAAACCAAAACAAAACCAATAGTGGACACCTAATTCCTGGTGAAGTGCAGCAGCAGTCATGTACCTATCCTGCATGAATGCTTGGCAGGCCTTCCAAAAGCACCATTCTGTACTTCTGCATGCCTAAAAGCCACATGGTGTCTGGTCACCAGAACTATTTTGCGTAGGCCTTTAATGGCAAAATGTTTTTGTTAAATCTTGTTTTGATAATTCAAGCACACGGATTTTTCTTTAATAAAATTTTAAGCTTTGTAAATTTTAATTTGCTTCCATTTTTATTTGACCAAAACTTAATGAAATTTTAAAAGTATCAACAAATGTGTTGTTATAAGTGTTAAAAAGAAGATTTTGAATGCATATGGAAATGTGATTGGTTGAATGAAGTTGTATATTATTGCTTGTTAGCAAAAGTCACATTTAGGAGAATGGCTGTTGAGTATCAAGTTAGAAAACCCAGAAAATAATTAAAATCAGTGAAAAGTGCATAAAAAGGGATGAATGCAAAGCAAGGGTTAAACTGTGATATTAAAGCAGCTTACTCTGATGTTCAGCTGTTCTAATGTGTGAAAATTAGGTGGTTTTTTTCTTAGGGAAGCAAATTATAAATGAAAAAATAAAATAAAAATATGAATGATGTTTCTTGTTTGGTGATTTAATTTAAATTTACAATTTAGATTTGTTTTCAGGTTTATTTTTATGTAATTCAAAATGTAGTCCTGAATACTTATGAAGAGTACTGTCTGGATGTATAGCCCTTTGATTGTTTAAAAAAAAGGCACAATTTTGTATTTAATGCCTTCTGGTTAAAACCATTTATAAATCTATAGTTTGATTACTAAATCCAGTCTCACCTGAGGGAATACATATAACTTTCATTAGGAGGAAATGGTCAGATTGTAGACCTTAAAACATCAGAATAATGAAAAGTGTTTTTTTTTTAATTTCATGGCACTTAAAACCTTTGAATATCTTTAAAAAATGAAACATTCTTGACAATTGCTATTATTTTGATCACCTAATAACTTCATTTTATACTACAGTTTTCCATTGATAATATCAGTTTGTTCACAGCATTGTTGCTGTAATTTGTTTTGGTTTTTTCTTTTAAAAAGGCCTGGTGTGGGATTTTTGGAGGTTTGTTTTTAATAACTTCAGTGTCTGTTAAACCAGAAGTGATTTGTTTAAAATAATTTTTAAAGGTGTGCCTTAGAATACTGCATATATCTCTGCATTGCCAAATACTGCATAATGTTTGCTAGTTTGAATATATTAAATATGTTGCAGGTAGTTTTGCTCTTTGAAAATATTCTGGATTTAATGTGCTGTTCCCAAAGAACAATGTTAATCAGCTGAAGTTCAAGAAATTAAGATGCCATATGCAGATTTTTATTGTACTGCCGTAAATGGCTTTTTATTTGTTTGTTTTGTTTTTTTTGGTTTTTTCTTTCTTGTGTAGGTGGTAAAGAGCTTCAGTATCCCCAAAGGAGTGATTCTTTCCAGCTCTTTAAACACACTGCAAGCAGTAAGAGGGAAAGGACTTGGGCACAGCTGCTCAAAATATTTGTTGTCAAAATAAAATTGAGTTGTTCTGTTAAATTTGAGGGGTTTCTTATTTGTGAGTTCTCTTTGGTGATTAGGTATCTCACAAGAGTAGCACTGTCACTTTAATTTCATCTCCAGTCCGTTCATTGGGGCAAACTTGGGGCCTGCATCATGTGCAGCTGTAGCCAGTTCACAAAACTACTTGGCTGGACACCTGCTTCTTTTCATCTCGGGAGAGGCTTCGGCTTTGATCCTAAAGAGACTGTGACATCGTTTCAGCCATGGGAAGTGTGGATCTTTGTTTGGTTTAGTGAAGGGAGTTTGTTTTAGTGTACTGTTCTCTTTCAAAGTAAGAACAAAACAAATCCAAACAAAAGAGTGGGAAAAAACTTGTATGGATTTTTGCCTGTGCATTTGACTATGCTTAGTGTTTAGCTGAGTTTGCTCCTTCCTTTTTTAGAGTCTGCCTTGTGAAAGAGCCCAGAAGGCAACAGTGAGGAGAGCAAGTATGAGAAACCTGGCCACGATGCCAACACTACCAATAGAAACTCGCATCTTGGAAAATATTTTAAGTTTTTCCAAAATTACCTTGATGAGCTGTCAACATTGAGTGTTTCTGTTTTGCTTCCTAGAGGGTAGTGCACTAGAAAGGTGCATGGTGTTTATACACTGTGTGCCCACCATGCAGGCAGGAGACTTGAGACTTCACATTAATGATGTATTGGAAATCAAGTTCTGAATTTCTAAGCTAAATTTTCATAATATCAGGGTGAAACAGTTGGGCTTTTTCTGACTTCCTCACTTTATGGGTTCACAGACAATCCTTTCTTGTTTCTTGGTAGGTGTGTTACTCTTCAATTAAGTTGATTTTTGTTTCCCTGGGTAGATAAGCATTTTGTATAGAAAGTTTCCCTGTACATAACTGAAGACAGTCCTCTGCACATCAGTTTGTGTCCTCTAGATGGCAGGAAAGGATCAGTTTAACAGTGCCAAAGCTGTTTTTGCTTGTCTACTTCAGCATCCACCTTAGAGATACAGGATAGGAAAGTTGAATCACTTCTGTGGGAGGGAAGCTTACAGTGAGGTGTGAATAAATTTGAACTCAGTTCAATATCTTAAAAGCATTTTGTCTCAATCAGTTATGTTTAGAATTATATTCTACACCTTTTATTGTTACTGAATCTGAGAATACAGACAACAGAAAGAATAAATGCAATTCCTGGCATATTTCATTCTTAAATAACTTCTGACTTTTGACATACCTTATTTTTTTTTGAGCTTTGGTTGATTGACAGTTGCTCCTCTAATGTGCTGCAAAGTTGCACTACTACCACTTAGAAATTGCAGGTATCTGTAACATTTGAACTGTCACCTTGCTGTGTATTTAGCTGTGATGATGATTTGTAGTCTTCACTATATCTTTACTGCATATGAAGGCTAAATTCAAGTAAAATAGCAGTTTTGGTGGAAGGTTCATTAATGGTAAGCAGTGCTTAAAATAGCGTGTCACAGTGTTCAGTACCATCAGCAGGCTTTCGTGGCTTATGTTGTTTCTGCTGCAGTTGATGTAATGGATGTCTCCTCTGAAACAGCACTTAATTCTGCTATGGTTAAGTGATTCAGTATTTATCAAAAAATATATTGGAGATTTAAGTAATGTATACTGTTACTAAATGTTGCAAGGTTCATGCAAATCAGTGAAGGATCTGAGGGCCAGTTGTTCCTGCAAGATTTTTCTTTATCTGAAATTCAGGAAGGGTGAGAGTTGAAAAAGATTAAACTGTAGTGTTGCAATAGTGCTTCTTGCTGAGGAAAGGTTGGAATGGAGCAAGGATGCACAGCCTGGTGATGTGTCCTGCTACCAGTTCTTCAGTAATTCTGCCATTTAGAAAGCTGCATGCATTTGGTTTAGGTAAGAGAATTCAAAGTCATAGTGCCGTTTGACTACAATAGAAGAGGATGCTGGGTTCTATTAAGGAGTGTCTTACTGATGACTTTGAAGACAGTAGAATTTGGCTAGTCTTGAGTTGTACCTGAGACTTGGTTGGTAGGTGTTCATGGTGTGATGGTTCGGACTTGGCTCCCTGCCAAATGCCCAAAGCCCAGTAGCAGCCTCCCCTCCCTTCCCCTTTCCTTCTTCCCCCAGGGCAAAGGAAAAAAAAACTATGCAAATTGAAGAACCCGAAAAAATCAAGCTAGTTATATGAAAAAATATATTTTATGTATATTACAGTTAAGATGCTATGTACACAGCAAACGGGAATCCAAACACCCCCTAAAGGGATAGGGAAAGGGGAAAAAGGGACAAAAGGAAACAAAAAGGGACACCGAATAGATATGCGCAATCAAACCCGAGAACTAGTAAAATAACTAGTAAAACAAATCTTACCACATCCCTTAGAAAGCAGGATTGGCAGACACGGCCAGCACTCTCCAAGCCTCCACGTGGCAGGCCAGTGGATGCTGCAGGCCTCAGCCTTAGATAAGCGAGACCAATGCAGGGACCCACTGTTCCCGAACTTTGGCAGAAGAGAAGAGAGCAAAGGCCTCTCCTCCCTTGTTTATACCTCGATTTACGTAAAAATCGTATGGAATACTGGGAACACTGCTCCTTCCTTGGTTACAAACTGGTAACCAGGGAAGGCCTGGATTAAAACCACCACACATGGTCACTTCCATATGGAGGTACAGGCACTGTTCTATGACTAACCTAAAGGAGGTGCTTCACCACATTCGCCCTTCCAGCATCCACCCGTTTGACACTTCGAGCTGCCTTGTCTCTAATTGCTGATGAACAAAATCAAACCAATTTCAAAACAGTTGTTATCAGCTAATTTGTAGTTCACAAGTTACTGCTTTTATTTCAGACCTGAAGAAAGATTTATACAAAACATTGCCAGTCTGGCAGTATGAAAATACTTGGAAAAGTTTTTGGTCTAATTATATTTTAGACAGATCAAGCTGTACATGTGAGTGTGTTAGTTCAGTGTGCATTTGTAATGTCAGTATCTTCTGCTTGGCACATTCTGAAAGTTAAACTTTTGGGCAATATCAAAGGAATTTAAAGATGAATAGTGTGCAGTGGGAATGGAGATGGATACTGGTGGAAGTAAGTGCAGGGAAGCAAGAGCAGTGGTTACTCGACGATGAGCAGCAGGGCACATGAAGAAAGTGTCATTTTCTTACTCATCTATTTCTGCCATTGCTTCTTGCTTTATTTTTCCTCAGTTTATCCTTTTCTGAATACTTATACTTCCCTCTGCACATCCAGCCGAATTCAGTCTGGTTAGTTCTGTTTCATTCTCTTTGATTAAAACTTGGAGTTTCTGCCGGGTGGAATGAGTGGAAGAAGGGAACCTTGCAAAAGGCAGTGGCAGCACAAACAAAGACCTTGCAATTGCAGTGGTAGACTAGAATTAGTACTTTATTAACAGGTAGAAACAATCTTAATTTTGGGAAGACAGCAAAGTGATCTCCTCTGGTCCCTGCTAAATCATTCTTTCTAACTTTGCAAAGCTCAGTGTCATATTTACTCATTTAGTCTTTAGCTGGGCAGCACGTGTACAGAATTTTAAATAATTATCTGTAAAATACTTTGAAATATGCACAAGAGAAAAACACAATCTTACATAAATGCAAGTGGGAAGCTATGATTCTTTATATTTCATATTTCTTGTATTCTGTGTATTTCTCTGTATAGTGTTGTAAAAAGCTATTTCTGTTATTGCTATTGACAAGAGTATTGCCCGATAATTAGCACTTAATTTTTATGCCCACATTGAAAGTTACTGTTAGCCAATCTTCATTACAGGTGGAATTGACTTGTATGTTCTCAGAGGGCTCATTCTCTGTACAGAACAAGAAAAGAGGTGGTAGAAAGAGGTAAAAAATTTTGGGGCACCTTGGGAGGGTGCAAAGTCTGTAAGACCGCAATTTCAGATCTTTTCTAAACGTATTCTTTAAAGAAATGATGAGCAAGAACTTCTTGAAAACTCACTTTCTATCTGTTTTGGCAGTGCATCTTTTACAACTAGTAGCAAAAGTTAACTTTTATGTACAAGTTGTATCAAAGAGTTTAATGGGAAAAACTTTAGACATCTGGTGGGGCGGGTGGGAGCAGTCACGACGTAGCTTAGCTGTGCTCTGAGTCTGTAGGACGAAATCCCATTCTGTTCCCAAAGCTTGTGGGATAGATGTACTAGCACGGGATTGTGTCCAAACTATACAAACTGCAAGATTTCCACAGGCTTTCTTAAGAAAGGTTACCTGTAGGTCCCCACACCCTGATTGTGTGTGTACACGCTTTCCATGGCTGGCTGTCCAGCCCACAGGAGCTGTCTCCAAAGCCCTGTGCAGAGGCTTCTGTGCTCTAGAAAGACACATGATGCACTTGCTGGATCAACAAAGAAGGAGGTGGATCTGTCTCCAGAGATGACTTTGGTATCACTGCACTGCTCTCCAAAAATGGCCGTGATGACTGTTGAAAACACTTGAAACTGAAATAAAAGGTACAAAGATAAAATGTAGTGAAAGTGTTGATTGAAATTTTCAGATACAACCACTGACCTTTTGGAATTAAATTAATAAAAAGGCACTGTTGGTTGGGAAAACATCTGCTGAGTTCTTTCAAAGAACCTCAGAGAACACGTTTCAAAAGTAGTGCTGCTAAAACTGATAATGACTTAAGAAAATCTTGGTAGCTGGCTAACATTGTTCAAAATCCTTGACAGTTCTAAGGAACAAATACACCTTTTCTCTACAAAAGAAAGCTCTGGTTTCTGGCCCCTCATTTTTCAAGACTATACTTTTAATGCATTGTTTTCACTGAATCATTTGAGCGCTTTTCATTTTTCTGTCAACAACTCCCACATCCCCTTTGAGGTTTTATTCTATTCTGTAGACTAGTTCACTAGTTTAGGCTTGGAGCTTTGTTATTCTAATCTCATGTTGAGAAAAGGACTTTTTGGTCAAGCTTCAAAGTTTAACAACAATGCCAATACTCCAGTGTTGGGAAAAACTTTGAATGCATTTTTTTAAAAATGGCATTGCTAGAT